CCAACCCTAACTATTCTATGATTCTATGTCTCCAATATCTGGTATAAGATTGGGTGTTGGTGGTGATTTGGTCATATCATTTCACAGGCAATGAATAAGAAGTTATTGGGGAAGCTGATGTAGAACAGATTGTTCTACATAGACTATGGTTCTTTTTCATTTGCAGGTACATGGCATGTGTGGTAATTTCAATGATAATCAGGAAGATGATCTGTCCTTGCCCAGTGGTACACTTGTCAGTGTCCCACAGTTTGGAAATAGCTGGAAAGTGGAGGAAGACAGTGATGAAGGGTAAATGTAACTTCTCTTCATATCTTCTATCTTTGAGAAAGTATCCTTTCAATTGTTTTGACTGTTTGCTACTTCGTAACATATGAGTAGCATATATGAGACTTCTCTTTTCTTGAATGTGAAGCTCAAAGAAAAAAAAGCCATACCATAGGAAACCACTGCACAGGACAGAGGATAGCCACAGACTTTCTATTCATCTACATACTCACTTGGGGAATTAGGCTTTGGGGCAGTCCACAGTGTGGACATAGCCTCTGGCTTACACTCAAAACACCTAGAGCAGGAAGATGGTGTTGAGGAACAGTAAGGGCTGGCTGCTCCCAGGAACAGGGAGACAAGTGTGAAGAAACAGCTAAGAGAAGAGTGGCTTCACCACCCAGGGCCCATTCTACACTATGCAACCAAGGCAAGCAGGGCAGGCCCAAGGGTGGAAGTCAGGGTTGGCCGAGAGTCCATAATACCACCCAAGTTGACACTTACGAAACGGTCTGAGGTCAAGCTGAGAAGTCAATCCTCTAGTCAGGGTCAAGTTCAGTGAGAGTAACAAAGGTCAGACACAGCATGGTGATTGCCAGGCAGGTCTACTTCTGCCTAACCTTTCACTCACAAAGACTGAAGTCTCTAGTGTTGTTTATTTAATACATTTCAGTAGGAACACATTTTTCAGTTTCAGTCTCAATCTTATATATGCCTTTGAAATGTTAATGTAGCTGTGTCTGTGCTTTCATGCAGTTGTTTATCAGACTTAAGAGAAGATGATGTTCCTCCTTGCACTTCTGAGAGTAAACCAGTCATTGAAAGCCAGTGCAATGTCCTAAAATCAGACAATTTCAAAGCATGTCATGATCTAGTCAGGCCTGAAGACTTCATACAGATCTGCATCTATGACATGTGCCAATATGATGGCATGAAGTCTGCCCTCTGTGACATAGTTCAAGTCTATGTGGACACCTGCAGGAATCATGGAATCACCATTAAATGGAGGAACAGCACATTCTGTCGTAAGTGCACAAGCAAGTGAAAAAAATGAAACTTGGATGGTTAATAACATGAAAACAAATTAGTCATATTAGGTGAAGGAGTTATGTAAAAGAAAATGAAACTCCAGTTCTTACAAAATGTAATTTTATTATTATGATTTTATGGCTTCATTGTTGCACTGAATTGTGTTCACGTTAAGCTAAACCCACTGATAACTCATGACTAGACAACTTACGCATAGTGATGTGGAGTTAGAATGGCTTTAGAAGATAAATGAGATATTGCAATGAACCTAAAATGGAACAATAATGTAACCAGAAGCAAACCAAAACGAAGTGGAATACTGTGTTTTGACACAGGGCTCAATGCCACTCACTGTGTTTTGAAGGTAAACTGACAATTTGACCAGCTGCTTAGTAAGGGCCACGTTCTTGGATGAATTTCCAGTGTATATGCCCATTCAACAAAGCTACAAACAAATTATATAAAAATTATTAAAGATTACACTATGGGTTTGGTTTTTTTTTTGGAGGGGGGGGTGTTTGGTTTTTTTTTCACAATTTAGTGGGCTTTTTGTTGTTGGTTTTTTTTTCCCCCCACTATGTTTAGTATTTAGTACATGTGGAATTAGTTACCACATAATGTTATGGAGGACAAAATAAATGGTTAAAAACCAAGCCAGATGAATGTTGAATAGTTCCATCAGAAATGCCTACTTTCTTCCTTGCCATGAGTGGAGGAAAATACTGGACAACAGAACCCTTTTTCTTGCTGCCCTGTTTCTTGAACTGTTTCTTGAAGATGAAGCTTCAGTCTGATAATGTTTATCTGTTGTTCTTGCATGTGTTTATGTCTGTGGTTAAGCTAGATATACACCTGGTTTGCATCAGCAAAGGGCTGAAGATTCTAAGAAATTTGCCCTAAAGATTCTAATTTCTAGCAGTGCCCAAAAAGACATTTACAGCTGAACTGCAATACTGAATCTGAATGATCTAGTGCCAGCTCCCACCACTTTAGGCATACCTGTAATAAAACTGAAATCAGCAGCTCCAGAGAGGGTTCTTTACTTGGTCTTTGTTAGTGTTTTAAATAAAATATAAAAAATCAGAACTGGTTGATAATCAAAATCAGCTATTAAAAGGCAATTCTATACTATCATTTTATAGGCTAAGTTGTAGCTTTTGGGCAGGCGCATGTGTTTGCAGTGTGCTTTTAGAACGTATTTAACAACGCTGGTTCTATTCTCTTCACCCACACAGCATTGCCCTGTCCATCCCACAGCCATTACACAGACTGTGTCTCCACATGCCCATCAACATGCAATGACATTTTTGCCTCTTCCCTTTGTGAGAAGACAGAAGAGTGCAGAGAGGGCTGCGAGTGTGATGATAACTATGTGCTCAGTAATGGCGAGTGTGTACCTCTGAGCAATTGTGGCTGCAGGGATGATGACAACAATTACCACAGCGTAAGTAGTTTGTCTGAGGAGCAAATCTCTGCCTGCTAAACTTGTAGACAGGTGGTCTCCTGCCCATCTGAATATGAGAGAGAGAGAGAAATCTTCAGGATCTACATCTTAAATACCTTTCCTCTGATTAGTAAAAGCTGCAGGCTTAAGTATTAGGAGATGCAGGAGCTTGGTACTTTGCACCTGAGGCCAAAATTGAGGCATATTTGAAACTAGTCAATTGATCAGTTATTCAGACAGTCTGTCCTAGTCCTATTTTGTGTTCAAATTTTCATGTCAAAGACAATAAGACAAATGGACTGGGATCCCCCCTCCGAGGCATTTGGTGAGAGTACACCTGGATTGAGCAGTTGTGGCATCACCAACTGGACAGGTTGCACCTAGCCAGCCCCCAGCGTCCTTTGCTATTGAACTTTTATTGCATTGCAAAGCTGAGCACATTGATTTACATATTATTAACACAACTTGTGTCCAGGCTGGGGAGACCTGGATAACTCCACACTGCACCAAAAGATGCATGTGTCAGAAGAACGGTGTCATTAGGTGCGACAGCTATAGTTGTGATTCTAAAGAAACCTGCGTGATCAAAAATGGAAAACACAAGTGCAACCCAACAGGTATGTGCAGGCAGGTCTTCCCTTTGTGTTCCATGAGGGATGGAGAAGGAGGAAGGATGTGGATGTCCATTCTTTCTTCTATGGCACTTCCAGTCTTTTCCACAAGGAAACAAGGCAGCTGACAGTGCTACTGGTGATACGTATTCAAACACAAAAAGGCCCCCATTCTTTAAATAGAAAGTTCCAGTACATGATAAAGAATTTGTAGAGCAAAGTGAAACAGAAGTTTGAAAATTTACTTACATATAGAAATTTGACAGTTCAGTCTGACTAGTTTAATTTAAAAGATAAATAAATAAATATGGTTTGCACTGCATCTACCAAAACTCAGATATGTCTGTGAATCCTTTGGCAATGATACTGTTCTTAACATTGCATGTTGATTTGAGAAAAGAAAAAAATAAAGGCAGAGCAGGACAAAGCAGATCTGAATAGATAGGTAATGGACAGTCAGTTGTTCAGTTGGCTTGCACTGCTTCTCAGCAGAGGAACAAGCTTCTCAGTCCATCTCTCCGAATGCCCATTGCCTAAGGTAATGCCTGAGCACTTTAAGAGACCTGCATGCTAGCAGCAATCATTTTTACCTGACTTACTTTAAACTGATCCATGCATAGGATCTAGCACACATACATTCAGACTGGAGAGTAACGAAGTTCTGACCCTTTAGGTTTTGGGAAATGCCAGATCATGGGTGATCCACACTACATCACCTTTGATGGTCTGGTGCACCACTTTCAAGGGAAATACACATATATTCTGGTTCAGACCATCCCTGACCTACCTGATACCCTGATGCAGTTCAGCATTGAAGGCATGAACTACCCTTTCCGTCGAAGTCGACACATTACTAACCTGAAGGAGATTCTTGTCAATGTTTACAATCACACAGTGCGATTAAGGCAGAACAAGCAGCTTGTGGTAAGTCTCTCACTGACTGCAGAGTACAGAAAAAGGCCCTTCATTGGAGTAAAATACCTTTGAGTAATAAATTTCTGTTTTGAAGAATTTAAGTATTAAAGCTAACTGTATTATAACAGCAGTGCTGTGGGGCAACCACAAATGTGATTTTCAGTGTGTTGCATGATTTTTTCTCTTTAGCTGTGAAGGATACAAATCTCTTCAAATAAATGAATAAAAAGTGATTTAGGAATAAACCGCCAAATATCCCAAGACCTACTATGACACCATACATATTTTTATCAGTGGTAGAAGAAAAATAAGTGTGAATTATGCAAAGAAAACTTAATTTCCTTTGTCTTTATTAATGTGTAAGAGTACACATAGCTCACATATATGTTTTAGCTCAGTAATAAAAATCTTTAAGGATGATATGAAAATACTGTGTCCAGATCACTTTCCTCAATACATAATTTCGTTAATTAAAAAAAAAATAATTGAATACTGAAGTTTTTATCTGGTTAAATTATCTATTTATTGTAAAACCAGAGGAGTGTTCACTTGTAGCATTGGCTTGTACCGAAGAAAGATTTGAATTTGGCTTATATATTATGAATTTTCACTTATTCTTTCCCTGTTAGTTGGATGGTGTAAGAGTGATACCACCTGCTCATCCTCATGAAGGTATTCGTATATATCAGAGGACAACAAGAATTTACCTGGAGACAGATTTTGGCTTATACGTGAGCTTTGATGGCAATCAAAATGCAGGTAACTAAGACAACGTGTAGGAGTATTTATGCACTGTCTCAAAAAATGTTATTTTTCCGAAGGAGATCTAAACACAGGTCAAAATTAGAAACCTTCACCCTTTGAGCCTATTGCCCTTTGTGATATGAACTTCCAGAAAATTAAAACAAAAAGTGTTTCCGAGGAACCAGAAAAACATGGTAAAGCTGGCATTTCTTTATCTGGATCCACCTAAACTTAAAAGAAATTATGTGTAGATTCAGACTTTCTACTTTTTTCATGTTAAGTAAGGCCTGAATTACTTAAAAATTATGATTAGGATGATGGAATGAAGCCTGGATCTGCCCCTTTGCCAGCTTAAACCAGTCATAGGACCGAGGTCCTCAAGCTATACAGCTGTGAGTGCATTCTTATACTTCCTCTCAAACGTCCTCCAGAATGGGATTAATCATTAATACCATTCTTTAATGATTCTCACCAGGACTCATGTCACATATACATAACTCGCTCATGTACATTGAACACATGTTACTGCCTCCTCTGTTTAGAGTTACTCTTGATTTATAACAGAATATAACCATGTTATTTCTGAGTGTATGGTGAAAGTGCCGGGCCATTTATACACATGACCATCATTCCAAACCCTAAAATTCCAACTGCAGAAAGAAAAGGCCTGTTTTATAGGAATTCCATTTCAAAATGGGCAAGGTCACTGTAAGTGAAAGGCACTGTAAGTGAAGGGCAAAAACTGGGTGCTGCATTCAGTTCATTGCAAAGCAGTAAGCAGTATGCACTAAGAGCAATCAGGTAGTGATGTCATGTTATATAATACCTTATTGGCTGCAAGAAATGACTTCATGCTCCATGTTGCAGAGCGCAGAAACAGTCCTGTGAATACATACATGAAATCATATATTTAGGGCTGTGCTCATATTCCTGAGGCACATGTCATCTTACCACCTCAAATCTGAATCATGAAATGTGATACTTGCACTGCTTTCCACCTCTTCCATATGCTCAGAAGAAAAGATTTCTGTGTAATGGCTTGTTTGGGTTTTTATTTTTTTTGTTCTGAACTTCCCTAGATATAAAGCTGGCCAACACCTACAGCAACAGAGTGGAAGGCTTGTGTGGTGACTTTGATGGAAGATACAAAAATGACTTCACAAAACCAGATGGTGTTTGGGTGAAGAATGTAAATACATTTGGTGAGAGCTGGAAAGTTCCTGTGACAAGAACAACCTCTCGCCTCAGGTACTTAATTTTCTGCTTCATATCCACAGCAAGCACAGCCACTGGAAGTGAGTGAATTAAGCCACAATTAATATTCAGGAATAACTACACTGTCTTATTTCTAGTATTTCTTTGCTTGGTCTGTGTGTAGGGACTTTTCCTGCTCAAAACTAAGGTAAACTATCAGTGCCCTTCTACCTAGCCAAAAGAGGCCTGAACTATCACTGCATTACTCCAATTTAGTATCCCTCTTTGGAGTCACAGCCATTAAAACTGCTAGGGCAGGGGGATTAATAAGATCTTTGCCAAGCTCAAGGTTCCTGGCAAAGACAAATACATCATGTTCTGCTGGATGGGCCCAAGGGAGGGCAAATCCTGGTTCAGTGTCATCCCTCCCTTGGAACATGAAGGTAGCTTTGAAATCCGTCAAGATGAATTGACAATTCCTCCCAGAAGATGGTCTTGAAGAGTTTGATGTCCTTACTTCTATGGCTATCTATCTAGTGTTTTCTGCCAGTACACAAAAAGGACATAAATGAGCATGACATTTGTGGCCAGCCAAATTCTGTGCTAATGAGTCCATACAGAACATTGAAACAGGTTGGGAAAGAAGTTTCTTTCTTTCTGTCCTTCTGTCCTTGCTTTGAAAGACCTTTGGAAGTTGCTTAGCCACTACACAGGACTTTATCAGCAAGTAAATGTAATTGTATTAGCTGTCAGGATATAATCTGGCTGGAAAAACTTGTTTGCCAGAATAGTAGAAAGCAGTTACGTAGGCTACTGTTGAGCATAAAGGGGCTCTGGAGGCTAAGCCTAGAGGAGAATTCTGTTACTTCAGGCATGCAGACAGTTGCTCAGTGAAAATGAGCATATGTCCAAAAAATAGTGACCTATACCAGCTGCATCATTCTGACTAATGTTCAAGTTTTATTGAATAGATTGGATGAAGGAGGCATTGGATGAAGCCTATGTCATGCAGAATTTCCAAAGAGATAATTACAGATACCCCTTTTGATTTAATACCCATAAATCTCTGAGAGGGTAGGAAGTGTTCTAGTACATCTTTGACTTGCTTTATCTATCTCATTCCCATTCAGCATAAATCATGAGAGAGAAATAAGCTTACACTTACACCACAAGGCAGAAGTACTCTTGTGGTATTACTCAGAGAGTAGTACCACGAATGCTGGTTGTAGAGGCAACTGGTGGTTTCATAATGACTTAATTTATAGGCGAGATGTCAGCTCAGAAGATGAGTCTGAGGAGGAACCAGATCCAGGACTCTTCCAAGGCTGCAGTGAAAATAAGCTGGGACAAGAAAACAGAACTTCGAGATGTCAAATCTTGATTGACTCAAATGGTCCTTTTGTAAACTGTCACTCCACAGTCTCACCGGATTTCTATTTCACGTGAGTGTCTACTGCAGACAGTAATTCTCCTCATTTGCAAAATCATTTTGGCACAAGTTTCTGACAAAGCTTTGCATCTTCTGTCTCCAGGGTATTAATAGAAACTGAAGCTTCAATGTATATGTATCCTGATTCTCAACATAAGCCTACTTTTCTCCTGAGTCAAGAGTTTGGTTGGGCAGCCTGTTCTACCTTCTTAGTGGTTGCCTGATTTTTCTGAGATGCTGCATAACTGCAGATCCCATTCATCTCAGATCTTAATGTCTCTGAAAATCAGCCCATGGATATTCAGATGAGCAAAGCTGATAAGGTAGCACTGGGTAAAACAGAATTTTGTGTCAATATTCGAGGTATATGAACATGGGAAGAGCACCCATGTATTGAAAGAAGTGTGGAGTCCAGCTATAAGGACTTAGCAGCATTATAAAGTGCTCAATAAGCAAGATGCAACCGTGGTAGCCCAAAATACAAGCCGATCACAAAGAATAACTTGCTGTGACAAGCAGTCAGGTACTTGTTTATTGCTTGTTCATATATGAATACCTCACATGTTAGCAGCAGCTGCACAACAAATGACCTGATCCTCTGTTTTCCTGTCAGCCAGAAAATGGAAGTAACTCAGAGTCAGGCAGAAAAGCAGCTGAAAATAAACAATAACAAAGGTACTGGGAATGAACACTTTCTCATGTTGCACATAGGAGCTGCCTGTTTGATACGTGTGTGGAAGGAGATGAGGAAGATGAGGATGCTACTTTATGTCGCAGTCTGGAGGAGTATGTGCTGACTTGTCAGCTGCAAGGAGTCAGTATAGAAGGCTGGAGGCAACAGACAGATTGTGGTAAGCACAGGAAGAACCCGAAACTGTTTTCTGCCTAAAGAACTCTCTAAATCCGAGATTTGAGGCTTTTCCTAGATGTACCATACATCAAAGCTGCTCAGGGAGTATGATTCATTGATTCACGCTCAAATCACTGTTCACAGTTTAGCATGCACACTTGCTCTTCTGGCCTCCCTTGTGTGTCTTATGCCGACTTTTGCATTTAGATCCCATCTTAGAAAGCTACTTAGGAAAGCAGATCTGTCAGGTCCCCTGTTGTTAGAAGTTTTGTGAAAGAAAAAAATGTCCCCATTCCCAACTGGACAAAAAAGTTAAAATTTTGGAGACCATCACAAGCCACGAATCTGAAGGAAAAAGCATTTAATTTCAATCTCTTTTTTAAATCTACAAAATTTACTAATTCTCTATTTGCCTGTGAAATTTCAAGATAAAAAATACTCAGCTGAAAACTCAAAATCTTTCAGACAAAAAAATGATAAAGTAAAACTTATAATAGTCTAAAATCCTATTTTTTTCTTTCCCCAAAACTGGAAAGTTCATCAAACCACACTTCCCCTGCATCACCTATGGTTAGATGACTCCGTATTCCTGGTACTTGCAGGAATACTTATCCTGAATGTGTGAGAAGTTATTTGTGGTCAGTGAGCACCAGGAATAAGAACACAGCATACAAATAGCTTTGATGATGCATTTTTGACTTTGGAGTGCTTAGAACTCCTATTATATATGTATGCACATCTTGGTATATGTGTGTTCATCATATTGCCCCCTACAACATGGTAACATCCTCTGAATCTCAAAGGGCACTGTGTAAGTGATAAACTCTCCTTATTTTTACAGGTATATCATGTCCTGCCAACAGCAACTACAGCTCATGCATGTCTGCATGCCCAGCGTCCTGCAGTGACTTGACCAGCCCCTCTGAATGCGAATCACCTTGTCTTGAAGGCTGTGAATGTCTCCCTGGCTATGTTCTCAGTGGTTTTGATTGTGTGCCTTACAGGCAATGTGGCTGCACGTATCTTGAGAAATATTATGAGGTACACTCTCTCTGTGACTCAGACAGCTCCCATGGCACCAAACAATATTTTCTTCTGCTAATTATTTTGACAGCTTCCCCATTCTCCTCAGCATGTAATTTCCCTGGAGGAAGGGAAGAGAGAGAAGATCTCTTGGCCTGCCTCTGAAACTTCGCCTGCCAGAATACTCAAGGCAGATGCTTGGAGAAAGTATATGATTACACTCTGACCTCCATGTTAATTCTTCACCTTTACTATACTAAACAGTAGTCTCCTAGGCTCTGAAGTTTACAACACACCAGTTTCAGAAGAATTCTGTCCGTCACTGTGGTCACTCTCCTCTCAGTGAAGAGTGGTATAGGCAAGGTTGAGAGTCTGTAGAGTTGACTGTGACAGGAAGAGAGTCCCAAGTAAGGCTGGATTCTGAGGAATATGGAGGAACCTCCACTGTTGCTGCAGGGTAGAGCACCTTCATAATCTCATAGATTTCTGTTTGAACACTAGAGATTTGGTACAGAAAAGGCCTAAATCAGTAAAGATTGTTTTTCACATGAGGAAGGAGACACTATGAAAAGGTGGTTACTTTCCAGAAAAATAGCATTTCCATATTGCCTCAGAGGCATAATGTGATGTATCTGCCACATTCTCTTATCTCCAGCAACAGTTAGACACTGTTGGTTGCACATGTATCCCACCTGGGCTAGGATGTTATACCCCAGACTCTTCTTTTGCCTTCTTTCTTGGCCCATCTTTGAGTTTCAAAAGACTGGATTAATAAACTGCTTGCTTGCTTTCTTGTAGTTTTACGAACTACTTAAAAGAAGAAAAAAAATCTTCGCTGTTGCCATTCATCAGGAAGACATCAGAGAGAGTAGCATGGGGCCCCAGTGATCCATTCGTTTTTTTCTGGCTGGTTTTATTTGACATTTTTTAATATTTAACTGCTGTCTTCCAGATTGGAGAAATATTCACCACTGATGACTGCTCTCAGAGATGCCAGTGCACAGAAAGCTCCACTGTCTTCTGCTCAAACATAGTGTGTGGAGCTGATGAAATCTGTGGCATTTCAAACTACAGTCGTGGATGCTACAGGAGTAAGTCATCCACTATCACATTGTCTTCGATGCTAAGAAGTCTTGATTTCCTGTTTATAGGACATCACTGAGCTGGGGTGATGAGTGCGTACAGAAGAAAAGCATACAAGGGATCTTGTTCTGATGTTTCATTGTAGAAACAGTGTTTCATTCCCTTATTCCTGTTGATTAGTACAAGTAACATGCCTTAAAATACAGGGGATGTTCAACATTAGGAGTCAATATAATCTAAGCAAGAACCATTCTCTCAGGGTTGGATTATTTGCGACTCTGAAGCGTTTCTCCTTCCTTGCTGCTAGGTGGACCATGTATGCCAAATCCTTGTAAGAATGATGGAGTTTGCTCTGAAACTACTGACGGCACCTCTCTCTCCTTCCACTGTGAATGTTCAGAACTGTATACAGGACAAACCTGTGAGGCTGAGAAGAGGGGTAATAAAACTGTTTTGGGTTTCACTATTTGTATTACACACACCATTTTCAAAAATTGGTGTAATTATGGAGAAGGGTGAGCTTGCTCTTCATTTCCATGCTGTAAATGAGTAACCCAGTAGGTAAGACCCTGTGGTCATCCAAGCAGAAAGAAAGGGTCAAATCCCCCAGTGGGTATGACAGCAGGGCTCTGTAGAACATACAGGACCTGGGTCTGATGCCACTCCAGAAAGCCACATTCATCAGAGAACATGGTATAAACCAAGGAGACAGGCAAGGGTTGGAAAAAAAAAATATTTCTGTTCACAGTATGGTTAGCTTTCACTGACAGGGCTCCTCTTTGTTCTTCATTTGAAGTCTTTGCCACAGAGGATCCCGAGAACAATACAGTTGCCATCGTCACTGGAGTTGTGGCAGGCGTAGTTGTTGTCACCATTCTCATCTCCTCTGCAGTGTACCTGTACAGGTAAGGCTTTTCCCAGGTTTTCTAAGCTCAGCAGAGTCAAGACACATACATACACCCCTTTCAGCACCTGTAAACTTCAAAACTCCCATCAGTCGTATACCTGCAGGACCAAAAAGGAACCACAGCATTCAGGATCTCAACTGAAGAATGTCAGGGAAAATACAGCTTTTTCTACAGAAATGAACATGTCATTTCCATTATGCATGGCATATGCATCACTATCACAAAACTTGGGCTTCTCCAAATTCTGACTTCATTCATTCTCACACCATTGTTTGACCTCTCACTATAGATCAAATATAAATTATTTTTTTTTTCCATTGTACAGAAGGAAGAGAAAGATGGATACACATGAGATATCAAGGAATTCTTCTTTGAAACAGTCCAGGAATGTACTGGATGACAGAATACATGAGCACAATTATGGCTGCATCGTGAACAATGCATTTGATCAAAATGAATCCCAAACTACATACCTATAGTTAACAATATTTTTCCAATTCATTTGTATTACTTTCTGCTCTTGTATTTTAATAGTATATCTAATACTTTGAGAAGAAATAAATAAATCATTGCATTTGCTGAAAACCTTTGAAGTTGTTTATTTAAAATATCTCTCAGATCTCATGTTACAGATGCAAATTGAAACATATCCTAACTCATAGACTGTGTCGTCTTCAGAGACTGAAAAACAGAACATCCAGACAGAATTCGGCAGTACAAGTGCACTGCACACCATCACATACATACCTCTGACAGATGTGCAAACAGTAGACTGATGAGGTCAGAATTCATTGTATCATCCCAGGTAGGTCTTCAAGAGATCATCTTACCCACATCCTTCCATGGGGAGGGGATTAACTGACTGAATTGGACACAGTTCTTACTCCTTTTCTGGCAAAGCATGTTCAACTTGGGGGGACATAGAATAAAGAAGCCACTGAGCTCATCTGGTGACAGGTGTAGGAAAAAAGTATGACCCCCATTGTCCTCCATGGGAGCGCTGGACTAAAAGAAGTGATTATTTGAAGGAGAGCTGCCTCCTTGCTGTCAGTTGGAGTGGACGAGAAGGAGGGTTATCACCAGTCCCCTGCCCTAAGCAAGAGCGTAACTTCACAAAAACTTTCTAAAGAATAAGATCTTGTAATAAACTCTCCTTTGAGGTCTTTGCAGACTCTAAAGCTGCCACACTCTGATAAATGTGGGTGAAGATCTGCATTGGCTCAGTCCCAGACCATGCTAAGGATCCCCCTACAGCAGAAGGCCAAATGTGTTTGTGGCAAGGCACAATACCACTCAAAAGGCTCTGGGAACTGAGGCACTGACTGGGCCTAATCCAAGCCCTGAACTAATTTCCTTTGCCATGAGTGAAGCTTTGTGACTTATAGAATGCACCATTTGCTGATGATTTTCCAGTTCTTTGCAGCTTCACTTCTGATTACAAGGAACAATGTGGGCTTCCTGTTGTCGCTGCCATAATGCTGGTTATTATTTACTTACCCTTTCTCCTTTCCCTTGTATACAAAAACTCATGTGCGCTGTTAGCAAGAAAAGCATTGTAACCTCCATGAACAGTAAGGTAGATAAAAGGCATTTTATTCTGGTTCATTTGAGAACGTGCCAGCTGTCTGCACATGCACAGCACAGCTATTTTGGAGAGGATGTGACTAGAAAGGGGCTTTCAGCCTCATTACATGGTGAAAATGAATCAACAAGAGAGATCTACTCGTGCACAAACGAACAGTTAACCTTATGCTGGAATTTCACCACAATTAATTATAAAGGCATCTTTCCTGCCAGTTAAGCGCCAGCTTCCTATTGCACTGTCACACTTGCTAACCATGCAATGCTGTGAACCTTGAGCACTGCTGATCAGGCTCACCTCCCCTTACAGCTGATAGGAGCACAGGCCAGTCCCTGCACTGCAGGATCCCAGCCCCAGCTCTTTCAAGCAGCAGGGCCCAGCTGCGCTCACGTAAAGCAGATTTCTGGGTTTCCATGGATCCACCTTTTTTTCCCCCCCAATACCACAAGAATCGCCTTTGCTTTCCACTGCAAAGCTCTGCAAATACTTCAGACTTGAAACAGGGGGCAATACAGAAAGAATTACACTACAGTGCTCCGTTGACTTAACTACTTCATGTCAATAGAAGCCAAAAAAATGACAAGCCTGCTGCTCTGATCTTTTACATTAACCAGCTTGTTCACCTGACTTTTGAAATGCTGACCTTTAAATACACTGCTTAGTCCAGCTCACCCAAGAGGACACTGGTTGTTTGTTGTTAGTGAGCCCTCCTTTTTAACATACGGCACTGGCAATAGGCAAAGACGAGACAGCTGTGCCCAACTCAGAGGACTCTCGCTGCGCACAATCACGAGACTCCTCTGATGCCCTGAAGGAAATTCCTCGGCCACAGCATGAAAAGCCATCCTAGAAATCTCTTTGCCCTAAAACGGCCATTGAGATTTCCTCTGAGCCTCCTTTGCTTCTCTTCACTAGCAAAAAAGAAAGGGAACGGCAGCACGCCCTTTGTCTATCAGAAGCTTCTCCGGTGACGGACGCTCTCTCCCCGCTCGGCTCCGCACACCCGACGCCACCCCCGCGGTCGGCGGGGCCC